ATTTGTGATCTTTTGATGTATCATTGAAAGAAATCGTTTCGGTGATAGCTAAGAAAAAGTGGTAATAAACACACAAAAAAACACATAGTAAAATTAATACCTTCTCAGCTTCGCATCGAAGCTAAAAAAATAAAAGAAATATATTGATAAACTCGCAAAATTGTTTCATGAGATTTCTAGCGCCGGTCTTGTATATACTTGTTAGAGTTTTAGAAAAATAACAATTATACTTACAACAAGAATTGGAACATTATTCATTGTAAAGTGTATGATAATTGTATCAATACAGATTGTATACTTGTAAGAAATATTTTTACGAACGTTTTCCACATATTCACTAAGGATATCTATAATTATTAAAAAATTAGTTCTATGGCAATAAAAAATAATTAATATTATAATCATCCGATTCCGACAACAATGTGGAATATTGAAAGGATCAATTAAAGTCCAATGCAAGTAGCTGACCGACGAGTGCAATACGCATGAACAGCACTGAGGTGTATCTCAGAAATAATAGACCCAACGATGATATACTGAGCGCACAAGGGTGCAATAATCGCAAATGAGATATTTTACTTTTACAACAAAACTACTAGCTCGTAAATTCTATAGAGCTTATAGATGAAATGCGCTAAGATAGCGGCGTCCATGCAGACATAGAGAAAAGATCGATAACAACTCGGTGTAGCACAACGATAGCCTAACCACAATTTCTCGACAGGACATTCGACCGGTGTATATCCAACAATTAGAAAAATTGGAGAAAAATAACCTTGCGTTGTTTTTATAATTTATTTGGGAAAGGGCCCAGGGTCCCGGACCACTACTCATGAATTCATGTTTTTTTCTGCTTTATACACATAATTTAGATAATATATAAATTAATCCAGCATAGATGTAATCTGACAGTGATTAAAATCACTATCATAAGAAACATTTTAATACAAATCTGTAGATAATAATAATTATCTATTATAATAATAATCCATAATTTAAAAAATTTATGGATTATTCCAAAATCAACACGATTTCCTATTTCCTTATTTATATATTGATTGCAAGTTTTATGATTTATAAGTGTAGTATATGTATATATATTTATTATAGCAATTAAATATATCATGAAATTGATATTTAATAATTTAATATTGTAATTTTTACGGAGAACTTATAAAGTAGTTATTACTTTTATAACAAATGTATATAAAAGTTGAAGATCTTTATTGTATTTTATAAATAAATTTAATGGTCTACAGGGAATTTCATCCGAAACCAAATTATACTTTTCTAAACCCATTTTTGTACCGAATTCAAATCTGAAATTAGAGTTTCGCACATGGCCTAAATAATAACAAAATTCTTCTAATTAATATCACAAATCTTTATGTTGATTGTTAGGTTACGTATGAATAATCAATAAATGTATTTTAATTAAAATTAAGTTGAAGAAGTTCTACTTTTTATACGCATTTTTAAGTATTGAACCATCCTGTATAAAGGGTCCGAATTAGAAATAAAATATGTCTAATAAATAAATAGTAATTCTCACAAAAAATTGTATTGATCCATACAATTTTCAAAAAGTTATAGAAATATTAAGTTAAAAAAAAACCCAGCACAGGGGGGTCGCGGCACAGTTGTGACGTGGTATAGTTGGATCAAGTATAATGATATCTGACAGTGATTAAAATCACTATCAAAAATAAACGCTTCGATGCAAATCTTTAGATAGTGTTTAATTTTAAAAAAATTGGTGTTTTATTCCAAAAGCTACTTGATCTGCTGGTTCCTTATTAATATCTCGATTAAGATAAAGTATGTCGAATGAAAAAGGGTTTATTAAAAAATATTATTTCTCATAAAAAAATTGTGTGGATCCATAAACTTTTCAATAAGTTATAGCATTATAAAGTTAAATATAATATAAATCATAAAATCGTGAATTTTCACACGAAAATAGCATTCGGTAGCCATTTTCACCGTGAAGACAAAATAAAGTCCGAAATTTATTTTTCCTTAGTAAAGTAAGTTAGCTTTAATTAAAGATAAATCTAAAATTGTCAGTATTTCCGGAACATTTTCAAAAGTTATATTGAAAAAGTTAAATTTTTGTGCAGAAGTTGCTATTTTGAATCCGCCCTTTAGGCAGGTAAAGGGTCAGAGTTTCAAAAAAATGATATTAAGTGAAAGAAACATATCTATGGTTTCAATATAAAAAAATAATTATATTAATTTGGTCATTTTTAAAAAAAATTTTTAAAAATGTCGAAAATTTTTTATTTTTTTTGGAGATTTTTGCCATTTACGGGGAATAAAATAAATAAGTCTATTACAAAGAATGTGACAAGGCATGTGACTGACCATGTATTACTGATGATTGCTTTCTATTTCATTTCGATGTTCTCCTTATTGAAAATTATTTTTGTTCTCTGAGTTAGTGCTTTTTATTTTGCGATTGTAAAAACTTGTGCTTACCAGTATATATATATATATATATAGAATAAACATGACTTTTTTCCCTGTGAATAGGGGATAATAATACTTCCACGGCCCCTTTGCCAGTTGTAAGAGGCTACTAATCAGGTTGTGTCAGGTCGACAGCCGGCGTAAAAATATTTGTCAAAAAAGTATGAGGAATCATGAACAATACTTAGGCAGATTGTCCAATCTGGGATGTACGCGGGGACAGCAGAAAGTAGTTAAAAACGAAGAAGGCCTAAGGAATAAAGTGTTTGATACCAGTCGGACAACTTGTGCTTGTTCGGTAGCTGTTTCACCAATCATGTGTACAGGTCTACCCAACGCTTGTAGTGTCAACAGTATAGGAACATCATCACTTAACTCTAGACTGGACTCGTGTATAAGGGAGAAAGCTAGATACAAAGTAAGAATAGGTACTTGGAATGTTGATGCATTAACTGGTAGAAGTAGAGAATTAGTAAAAGTATTGAAAAGAAGAAAAGTTAACATTTATTGTGTGTAGGGAACTAAGTGAAAATGAGAGAAATTAAGGGAACTTGGTGAGGGTTACAAAATAATATAATCAGATAAGTCTAGTATAAAGAATGGTGAAGTGATAATAATAAATGAGGAAATGAAAAGTAGAGTAGTAGAAGTATTTAGGAAGAGTGACAGAATTATGGACGTAAAATTGATATTCGAAGAAAAAGTGCTGAATGGTTTTAGTAGGAAGAATGGAACTGGAGAAAGAATCCTGGATTTAGCAGTATCGTATGATCTTGCTGTGGTTAATTATTATTTTAGAAAGAGGGAAGAACATTATATAAATTAAAAGAGTGGGAAGAATAGATCATAGATTGATTATTTTATATGGATGAAAGAGAGCATAAAGCGAGTAAAAGATTGTAAAGTTATACCAGGCGAGAGTGTAACTACACAACATAGACTGATGGTAATGGAGTTGTGGTGTACCGGACAGAGAATAAACAAAGATAGAAGAAACACGGGGGAGACATCGAAGATCCGGTAGAGGAAATTGAAAGGGGTAAATGAAAAAGAGTTTGTAAAGACGGTAAAAGAGAGGACGATGTGGACTGTTGAGGGAGATAAATTAATAGATTTGCCAGTTGTGTAAAGAATACTGCAAAGATTTTTAGTGAGAGTAGGAGGAGAATGCCTAGAAACAAGGACAATTGGGGGTGGGATGAGGATGTTTAAAAAAGCAGTTCAAAGTATGACAGAAGAGCAAAAGGAGAAAAAATGGGATGGAGTATAATCAAAGTGTGCAGTAAGTTAGTCGAAGTTTAAGATGTATGATAAGCTATGAACAAAGGAATATAAAAAAAAATGATATAGACTTGAAAAAAGAAAAATGTTCTAAAGATTATCACTATACAAGTTGTATAAAAAGTATTTATAATAGAGTACTATTGAGCGATGAAGATATTTAAAAAAGGTGGAAATAGTATTTTGAAAAATAATGAATGAGGAGTATCCAGAATGGACATTAGAGGATATCTCGTAGAACTAGGGGCTGGTAGATTTAATTAGTAAGAAAGAGGTATGGGAGGCAGTGACATCAATGAAAAAGAATAAAGCGAATTAAGTGCCAGTAGAAGTATAGAAAATATTAGGCGGTATTGGTATAGGGTAGTTGAAGGAATTTCTTAATAAAATCTTATTAGAAGGAAAAATATCAAAAACATGAAGGAATGATACTGGTGCCGTTATTTAAAGGCAAAGAAGACATACAGGAGTGTTAAAATTATTAAGACATAAAGCATATTAAGTCATAGTATGAAAATTTACGAAAAGGTAATAGATAAGAGAATACGAAATGATAGGAGAGAAGGAAAGTTTTAATTATTTAGGGTAAGTTGTGCAAAAGAGTGGTGGTATTTACGAGGATGTAAGACACAGGATTAAGTGCGAGTGGTTAAAGTGGATAGAAGCGTCTGGCGTCTTATGCGATAAAAGAATTCCAATGAGGCTGAAAGGTAAATTCTACAAGACTGTAATAAGACCAACTATGATGTATGATTCAGAATGTTGGTCGGTTGATAAGAAAGTAGAGCAGAGATAAGAATGCTTAGATGGATGAGTGGAGTGACTAAAAAAGATAGAATAAGGAATGAGCATATAAGAGGGAGTATAGGTGTAGCGTTAATCGTAGATAAGATGAGAGAATATAGACTTAGATGGTTTGGTCATGTTATGAGTAGAGAGATCAATCGAAAGCTGTAAAAACAGTTATAAAATGAATGTTGAAGGAAGAAGAGATAAAGAAAGACCAAAAACGAGATAGAGGGATGTTATTGAATGCAATATGAAGATGGCAGATGTGAGAATAGTTAATGTAGGAGATCTTGTCAAGTTTAAGATAAGGGTGGTCGACCCAGAGTAGCTGGGTGAGAAGGTGAGAAAAAGAAGAGAATATATTTCATAATATGTTTATTCATTTTTAAGATCATATTTAAGAATTGTGTATTATTTTTTTACATATTAATTTAAACTTGAGGTTTAAAATTTTTAAACTGTATAATATTTTTATTACCAAAACCATCCGTCTTATAATCTTCTAAGTATTCCAAATTTCTATCCAATTTAGAGCATGATAATTTGTCGTTATTTACGTTTGTTCCTTTAAGTGTGTATTCAGTTTCAATGATTTCTTTGAGCATGTCAATGAAAACAATGTAATCCATTTTAATTAATGATATCTATATCATATTTTTATAACATTTAATTTTTTGATATTATAACAAAGGTTAGAGAGAACCTAGCTCGATTACTTCAATATAGCCAAAATTAACTATAATGTTCATTATTGGAAATCCAGTGAAAATCAAATCTTTAGTAGAAATATTTTTTTTAATACTAATTGTGAAATTAATCGGACATGTTAATGTACTCATAATTTTTTCATTTAATCCTTCCTTTTTTATCCTTAAAATATTCATCTTAACACATTTTAATGAAGTGTCTTCAATAAAAATTGAACTTTTTAAATCTTTTTCGATCTTTCTAAGATTGTTTTTTGATGTAAGAGATCCAATTTTTATTGTGATTCCATTAGCATCATTTATTTTACTTGGGAGTAATATAACTATATCCTAGGTAAAAATGTAATTTTTTTTTATCAATTTATGTTTTTAACTAATTAAATTTAATATTAACTTTTAATTGAATATTAATCTTCAAAATATAACGAAATCGATTTTTGGATGTTTCCATAATTCGTTCTTTTTCATAAATTGATAATGTCATGTTTATTTTATTAATGAGATATTCATACAGTTCCTTAAAAATATAATTGTTTAATAATTATCACATATTTTTTTGAAATATGTTACCCATAATAGGAAAAAACATTTATTAATGTGTGTGTAATATATATTGTTTATTTTGCATGCAACAGTGACACTTGGTACATCATATTCTCCTACAAACGTCTTCACAATATTTAAAACTATTAACTCAGTATTTTCATTACATCTATTGGATGCACATAATAACTAAAAATATATAAAGTATAAAATAAATTTGTGTAATTACCTTTCACTAGGGAATAATTTAATTCCCTAAACAAAACAAATACGTTTTATCTTTTTAAGTTTAAAACATAAGTTCCACAACAACTGTGATATTATAAGTGATAAGAGTATTAATGATAGTGTGTTTTTTATAATTAGTAATTTAGAATCAAATGATCCTAAATTAAATGATTCTAAACAGCCGTCCAAAGTGTAGTCTTGAAATATTATAACCCAGGTGACTATTATCCCAAAACTATAATTGTTTTATTCCATATAAAAATTGATTTTTAAATTATCTTTTATTTTCACAGATAATGGACGAGTGTGTAACGAGTACGCGGAGATGAAGTGAAACTTCTTTTGTTATAAGAATATCGCTTGAAAATTGCATTAATAGTGGTTCTTTAAAACTATTTAATTCAATATAATAAAATTAATTTCATTTTCGAAAATACAGTGCTACATTATAATAAAATATACTTAACAGCAACGTTCGATTACTATTTTATTTTTTCGGACCCTCTATAAAGAAGTTTAACTTCAAATATTATGTTTTAAATTTTTCAATTATATTGATTGATCAATATCATTTGAGTTTTTTAACCCGTCTAAATATTTGGATTTAAAATGAAAATTTGTCAATAATTTGAATTTCATTAAACAGTGGCTAAATCTGTTTCAATGGGCCATAAATTATTAACGGCATTTATTCTTGGCATTCAACCATACGGCATTTCCCCGGCAAGAATAGGACCACGGAGTGTTCTCTTGTCGTAAGATGCAACAAAGGAACTCAGTGCAGGGTAGTTGTTACATCATTATTAAGCTAAAGCGACAAATGAATAACATTGGAACGTGTTTTGTCTTGAAGAAATGCAAACAGAGCTGAGTACAGTGGTATTGTTGCATCACTGCGATGTGAAAGTAAACGAAAGACCCACATTATTAATTATTCGTAGGAAAAATCAACATTGCTGGAAAAATATTTCCACGGCCCTCAGTCCCCAGTAGACCTTCAATGGTCAGAAGGAGCTATAAATGAATACAATGAAGTTCATGATAATAACCAATGATAAGACAGATATTCAACATGATAATAATTGCTATAATTGAGATATAATTGAGCTTATTTAAAGAAGATAGAAGTATTCGAGATGTGGTGCTATAGAAGGATCTTAAATATATCATGGGTAGATAACGTTGCAAATTTCGAAGTGCTGAGGAGAATAGGGAAAGATAAGGAAGTAGTAAAGATATTAAAAACAAAAAAGTTTTGGGCACTTGATGAGGAGACAGAAATATCATATTCTGTAGCTCATATGTGGTAAAAGAAATTGAGGAAGACCTAAAATAAATTGGATGCAAAAGCTAAGGCAATGGCTTAGTTGCAGCGGCGACCAAATGTTCAAGGCTTTCCAAGAGAAAATCCAGATTAACATGATTTCCCACCTCTTTTAGGAGAGGATCTCTAAGAAATAAAAATTTTTATTCTTACTGTACTAAGTGATAAATATGATAACAAGAATTGTTAATAAAAATTTATTTTTGTGACAAAAAGAGAAAATAGCATTTACTGTATAATGAAGATCAATTAATTCTGTCATACAAAGAGATAATAATTCTTTGTTAAAAATCATCATGAGTCTGACACGGCACCGCCCGTCGCTTTAGGCTGGCGCTCACCCGTGTCTCTCGTGATATCAGCCGTCCAGCTATTAATATGACATTCGGTTGTCTCCCCGCCCTTGACACCGAGATAAGGCCGCCGCCAAGTATGGATTACGGATATTGCGTTCTGTTTTGTATCCAACGTATACATTTACTGTCGATTTTTATTATTGTCTTGGTTCCGGTTGTTGCGTTTCAACTTCATTGTTTTTCTTTTTGTCAATTTTTGGCGATTATATTTTGACACGGTTCCGCGTCGTTCTCTATACACGGAGCCCCGCGACCCGTGACACCTTTATCAGCCGCCGCCCTACTACGTGCATATGGTAGTTTGACTGACTAACACCGCGTGCGATACGCCACGGTACAAAGTCCAGCAAGTGCCGCACGTCCATCTACGACCCGCCGCAAATATACGTTAAGTAATCTCCGTGACACGAGACTGATTGGATCGCTCGCCGAACGCACCGGTACGATATTGTCTTCGCGTACACACCAGTATATATATTTTTCCGTAAAACTGCTTACGGTGTTTTTGTGTTTCTGTTAGAAATTTTATGTAAATCGATCTAAAGTTTGTTCAATATCAAAATAAAGCATACAACGTTACTTTGAACCGTAGAAAAAAAGGGTTGTGTTTCTTTTTCGCTAGTGCTATAGCCCCACTCGAGTGCGGTAAAAATCATTAACCGCAACAATTTGCTCCCCGATAAGGATCGCAACCTTAAATTGGATTAACTTTGACTAAGGTAAGAAAACCATTTGCTGACTTGTCTGTAATTTATTTTACTTTTTATATAAGAGACAGCTAGGTTTACTTAGCCGCCCTGTGCTTCGAGTTATTTCAGTCACAGTCCGCTGGTGACAGCAGCGAATTCCCCGCTCGGTTATAGATAAATTTTCAATAGCGCAACAATTGTAGAATTCCACTTCGTTAGTTATTTTTAACATTAACAAGTAGATTATCCAGTTGTTTGCCCAACCAATCCTTATCGCGAGCGCGAGCCGACGCCGCTGATTCACATTACATTGTAACGTCAGCGATAGACAGGTAGTTTACAACACACTCCGTATCAATGCGTTCAATATAGCATTAACAACCGAGCCCATAAAACCGCTTGTATTATTATTTCCGACC